TAGGTGCGTTCCAATAAGTCTTCCTACCAATATGACCATGTTGCGAAAACAAGGTCAAACAACTTCTAGACCTAATTAAAGCTGACACTATTATTCAATCTATCCCTAATCATATGAACTAAATAAAGTGATATATCTAGACAATATACTCAAAGTTGTATACATATTTAAAAGATTAAATTAATATTACCCTTTCGACGGGAGTTGCTCTTTTCAATGCTACAATCTGAAGGTCACCTAACGGTCCATTTACGAGGAAAGAGAAATGTTCACTGGGAAGTGACGAGGAACAGATAAGACCTTTGGCTTCAGGAAGCACGAGGAAGACAGAAGAGTCTGAATTTTCTATGGCGACTCTGATATGGGTTGGGCTGGGAGACAACGCGGGTAATGCAGGGAAGCAATTGTAGAATAGAGAAGATGAGCTCATACCGTAGTGACTATGTATAACGCCAGTCAAGGAGGTTGGTAGGACGTGGAAAGTGTTAGCTGCTAAAATAAGAGATAAACAGCTGGTGGGTGAAGCGTCAATATCTGGATGAATAGTCTCGATACCAGTAATCGGGGCATTTAATCGTGGAAGATATCGACGTAGTCGAGGCCCTCCAAAGCACTCGGTTATATCCCACTTAACCAAAACTCCTTCAAAGCCTCCGCTAAAAAGGTGACCACCTGGAGAAGGGTATGAAGTGAAGTTAGTAGATCGTAGTATATAGTTGTAGGTTAAGGATAAAATATATAAATACCTTCGGCAGAGAATGCTAAAGAGAGAATGGCTTGTGAATGCCAATGTATCGTGGCCTTCTTAATAGAACAATTTCCAACAGGCCTCCAACATGGTGCTTCTCCGATTGTAGCTTTTTTTGAGATTAAATTAAGTACATTCTTGAATGTATTCACATCACAAGGGGTATTTTCAGACGTTGACAGAGACAATTCGGAATCAGATTCGTTAGTTTCTGTCTCCAAAATTCTAGAGTGATCTAATTCCAAGCCTTCGAATACAGTTGTCAAATTCCACCAGAAGAAAATTTCCCCTAATCCATTCCCAGTTGCAATAATATCCTTCGAAGGATGGGCGCAAAGTGAGACTATTTTTTTCAAGCTACCAAAGCGGCCAGAAGAAATGGGCAAACAACTATAAGACGAAATATAATTAGCACCACGAAATAAAGCTAAATAAAGAGAGAATAAACAAACTAACCTCGTGCAAAGAGAATAATCGAACCAAAATATTTTTACTTGGTTGTCGACAATGGTACACAAGAATTTCTCATTCTAAAGCATTAAATAAAAAACACAAACACCTCTCCCCCAACTGAGACACACTTATAAAGTGAATCATCAAATATCACACATCTATTCTCAAGAAGAGAGGAATACTGTAAAACAGTGAACCCTAGTCACAGTTAAGTAACGAGTAAAGGAGTCCATACGATCCATTTTGGTTTCGCGCTGGAGAATAATCCCTCTGGTTTTCGTAGGTATGATCAGAATAATAGGATATATAAGTTCAAATTTCTATAATTAAGTAATGATAACTTATACATTAATAGAATGTCCATCGTAAATATTCCACATGATAACTCTCCCACTGAGATCAGCAGATATAATCTAATAAAATGATGCAAAAGCGAGAAAATACAATTTTTGGATCATTTTTGTCAAAGGAAAGGGCAGACACAGAATCCCTATGACCGCACATTTGGCGTTCGATACAGCATTTCTTGTAGTCATATAATATCAAAAATTTATCGGCGGCATAAACTAAAATACTGATAATGTTATTAATAAAAGACATAAAATACTTTAGTGGAGTAAAAACCAGAGGAGGGACACGCGAGATATTACAAGTTTTTCTAAC